CCACATATGTATATGCATACAAACATACATACATATATATCGTTCACACTGACTCACACACGCCTTCATTCCACAACATGTCACAATTGAAACGACCAGACCAGACCGGACAGACAGACAGACACTGGAGGAGATCTACTTAAATCCCAAGCAAAAATAAAATAAATGATGTGTTATCACAGCATAATTAACACTTTATCATGGCAGCCTATATCACAGAAACACTCACACACATATCGCAAGAAAACCCGAGTCTAGCAGAGAGCGTGTGTAGCGATGTGGCGGCTTGTCCCAATATGCGAGATTCCGGAAATAATTTACAAAAACCATTAATGTAATGAATGTGGGTTAAGTAGTCAACGTTTTTTAAGGAAAGAAAACAAGGACAGGAATTGTAACGGACCAATTTTGAACCTTTAATTGCACAAGTCAACAACATTCAATTTTTTCAATAATTTCGGGAAAAATCCAGCAGATAATGGAAGTTGAGTTAAAAACAAGTTAAAAAGCAGTAAGTTCGGCCGGGCCGAACTTTGAATACCCTCCACCATTTGGAACGAATTTAGAAATTTAAAAAAATATAATCCTTAAAAAATTCTGTTAAATTTTAAAAATACCGAATATTGCCGATATATTGGGATCTATACGACGTGGACCTACATAGGCATTGTTTGCCATTAGCCATTACCATATTCAAATTCGAAACTTGAAATAATGTGACTAAAATCGTCAAAATATCGTATATAGAGAGGTACAATTATATCGGAGCTGTGCGAAGACCTGGGCCAGCATAGACAATTTTCTGTCACAGGCTATAGCATCCATTACTAACGTCAAATACGATATCTCAAACAATTTCAGTAGGCTGTAGTATCCATTTCGAACTTCAAATACCAAAGTTGAAACAATTCCGGTGAATAATGTCGCTAAAATCATCAAAATACCGAATATCGGGAGGTACCGTTATATGGGGGCTATATGTAAACGTGGACCTACATGGCCCATTTACTTAACTTAACCTGCCTACTGGAAAAATAAACAGGTGTGCAAAATTTTAGGCTTCTATCTCAATTCGTTCGAAAGATAGCGTGATTACAACAGACAGATGGACAGACAGACGGACATGGCTTAATCGACTTAGAATTTTACGCTGATATATATATTCTTATATACTTTGTTGGGTCTGACATGAGTATTTCGAGGAGTTACAAACGGAGTGACAATGTTAATAGTATGGTGGAGGGTATACAAATAAGACACTTGTATCGTCGTTTTGAAAGTTTACATCAATAGGTAATGGGTATACTGTGGCCAAGCTCCACCCTCTTCAACAATTTTAGGGCATTTAAGATATATAGAGTCTTTGGGAATATTACTGATATAACTACGATGAATATCTTGGTAGAACATTTTAACCCTCAAACGAGTCAACAAAGGGGCCTTTTTTTAAATAAGTTTAAACAGGATTGTAGCAACTGAAAATATTTCACAAAATTATTTGTATTAAAATTCTACTATAGGTCCCAGAAGACGTCAAGAGTGTAAATCTTATACAAAATAGCATTCACTTTCGTAAATAAAAAACGCTGCGAGTTCATATATATTAAAAACACATTCTACGGTTAAAACCATACTTTCAGGAGAGTTTGTACAAACATCTCCACCAAAGCATCATTTTTGAAGTATAACGTCAAAGACAAAAATATTCTTCATCAAATTTTAATATAGATCATCGAAAAAAAGAAATCTCTATTTTCACTGCATATAAAAAAAATAATAAAAAAAAAACCAAAAAAAAAAATGTTTCCCAATTTTTTGATACATTTTCATCGAACTTTTTTCAAGTTGACATCTGGAAGTTATATAAAATTTCGTTTTATGCGAAAGGTGTTAAAAGAGGAACTAATCTATACAAAATTTTACATGGTCTGTTCCTGAACTGCAAGAATGTAAAAATGTTTACTACGATAACCGGTTTTTCCTTTATGATATCGTAAAAATTAAAAAAAGTACAGATTGAGAAAAAAAAAAAAAAAACTGCAACAAAGTCAAACGCCATAATTTTTACATTTTTTTTAAATTTTATTGAATGAAAGCAAAAAATGTCGGATATAACATCAAATTTTAGAATAAGTTTAGATTTGTTCGAATTTTTCACCTTTGGCACGAACTGTGGTCTTAAAACGGCCAATAAAAACGTCACACGCTGCCCGAATGTTGCTATGCGGTATTTTGGTCCATTCCCGGTGAAGCGCTTGCTTGAGGTGATCGACACTTTGGTAATTTTTAGTACCAACCTTGCTTTCCAAAATACCCCAACGGATTGGTATCCGGAGATTTTGGTGGCCATTGTGCGCTGAAAATGAAGGGAAGAACCTCATTTTGTAACCATTCTTCGGTGGCGCGTGCTGAGTGCGATGGTGCTGAGTCCTGTTGGAATGTCCAGGGTCTGCGGCCAAAATGTTTGCGTGCCCAAGGCTTTAATACAACCTCCATATTTTCGCGACAGTTATGGCGGCTCACAGCCGCTGTTATGGCCGGCCAACCGAAGGTACACACTTTCAGCTGACCTGTATGGCAAGTAAACACGATCATTTTGTTGCGGTGTAAGTTCGTGCAGTTTTTGGAATTTCAATGGCTTTACACCGAGCTCAGTTTTCAATATTTTTCGAATGGAATATTGCGATATGTTCAGCTCATGAGCCATTTTTCGGCCACTGCGACGCGGGTTTCGATCAAGTCGCTTCTTTACTTTTCGAACCATTTCTGTTGATGTTGCTTTGTTATGCTCTAACGATATCCACTTGTGGTTTTTCTTTTTTTTTTTAAGAAATCACACTTTCGCGCTTGAATTCCACCACGAAAAAATGTTTTCTGGAAAATGGTCACCAAATTGATTTTGTACGCTTGTAAACAATATAATGAGCTGTAACTGGAATAATTTTAACAGCTGTCGGACGAGTGGCTTAGAAATGACAGCAGTCTGAATTTAGTTGCAGTTTTTTCATCTCACCCTGTATAACATCCAAGACAAAAATATTCTTCATCAAATTTTATTATAGGTCACCAAAGAAATGAAATGAGAAGCAAGGGTTTTCCTGATGCTTTTTGTTTTAATTTCTATTTAAACGGTACCAATTATACTGATGGGTGCAACATTGTTATTCAGCGGTTCGAAAGACGTATAATGTTGAAATTTAGTCTGTAGGTCACTCTAGGTTGGGAGAAAGTGGGATCATTGGAAATTCGTGCTATAAGATAGCTTTAGATCACGTTCGCAGGATATTTTTAGTAAGACATTTTTTATACCCTCCACCATAGTATGAAGGGTATATTAAATTTGTCATTCCTTTTGTAACACCTCGAAATGTACATTTTAGACCGTACAAAGTATAATATTCTTGATCGGCATATAATTCTATGTCGATTTAGCTATGTCCGTCCATCTGTTCGTCTGTGGAAATTACTCTAGCTTCCGAACGAAATGAAAATGGGCCATGTAGGTCCACGTTTGCCAGAAGATTGTCTGTGCAGGTTCACGTCTTCCGATATCTCCAATATAGGGTTGTCCATATTCGACGGACCCATCTGGCAACGCCATAACTTTTGACAGAGATGTCACATCGCTTAATGACATACCGTGTTTGAAGCGTCAGTCCAAGCAGATTTTTACCATGAACTAATACACGTTACGCGAGCGCTCTGAAATTTACATTCAACAGAATAAGTCATTGTGAAAAAGAATTTGAGAAGTGCGCCTTCTAAGAACACCATTAACCGTTTATACGAAAAATTTTCGACTGGTAAGGCTCTTTCTCATCCGAAGAGGCCATATAAAAGTCGACCAAGGCGATCGCCCGAGAATATCGCTGCCGTACGAGCCAGTGTTGAGAGGTCCCCAAGAACATACCAAAAACGCCGTTCTCAGCAGTTGGGCATGGCTCGGTCCACTTTACAACGGATTATTCGCATTGATTTGCATTTGTTCCCGTATTTGAAGTTCGTAATGGATGCTACAGCCTAAGACAGAAAATTGTCTGTGCAGGTCTACGTCTTCGTATAGCCCCCATATAACGGTACCTCCCGATATTTGGTATTTTCATGACTTTTGCGACATTATTCACCGGAATTGTTTCAAATTTGATATTTGAAGTTCGCAATGAATACTACAGCCTATGACATCATATAGCCCTAATGTAACCTTACCTCCCGATATTTGGTATTTTGATGATTTTAGCGATATTATTCACCGGAATTGTTTCAAATTTGGTATTTGAAGTTCGTAATTTATACTTACAGCCTATGACAGGAGATTGTCTGTGCAGATAAACATCGTACAGCTCTAATATAACCTTACCTCCCGATATTTGGTATTTTGGTTATTTTACCGCATAATTCAATGCCATTGCTTCAAATTTGGTATTTGAAATTGGTAATGGATACTACAGCCTATGACAAAAAATTGTCTGTGCAGGTCCAGGTCTTCGTATAGCCCCCATATAACGGTACCTCCCAAAATTCGGTATTTTGATGATATTTTGATGATTTTCGCGTCATTATTTAACGGATTTGTTTAAAATTACGTATTTAGAGATCGTAATGGATATTACAGCCAATGACAGAAAATTGACTGTACAGGTTCACGTTTTGGTATAGCCCCATATAATAGTACCTCCCTATATTCGGTATTTTGATGATGCAGGTCCACGTCGTCGTATAAACCCTAATATAACGGCTACATTCGGTATTTAAAAAAAAAAAATTAAAAATTGCCAAATTCTTTCCAAGTGGAGGAGGGAATTCAAAGTTCGGCCCAGCCGAACTTATAGCTTTTTTACTTGTTATTAATTGATTTTTACCTAACTAAATTTATATTATAATTCCATAATTATTTTAAATGCGTCTCTTTTTTCTCCGTCTATCTCATAATTCCATTAAATAAATCAATTCAATTTTATTTCCAATATATAATTAATTATTTTTTTCTTGTATTTTTCCAGCTTTAAAATAAAAGTGAACCAAGTAAGCAAATTCCGTTGGATGAAAAATTCAAATAAGTTCCAAGTGAAAAAAGATTAAAAAAAGTGAATAAAATAACAAGTAACACAATAATAATAACAACCTTTTAAATAAATTAAATATTCCAAAAAAGATTATTATTTTAAGTGATTTTAAAATTTAATTGCAAAAATTTTCAAAAAAAAAAAAAAACCCATATGCAACATAGAGGCATTCAATTTAAGTGAATTGCGCCAAGGAAACTCACATGAAAAAAGGTATCAAGTCAAACAAATAAAAAAACCGCAGGCATAGCAACATGAGTAACAAGGAAAAATTAATTTGAAATGTGTTGCTCGTAGTGTCACACGTACAAACATACACCAACCTCCACAAATTTCAACAATTTAATTAACTAGAGTGGATTAATTTGCACCTTGTTAGGCTAATTAAGGATTAAAGGCAGAAAAGAAAAACAAAAACATAAAAAAAAACAAAAAAGAAAAAGAGTTAAACAGACCACGTATAGAATCGAAAATAGATACCCTCAAATATATTCAAAGGATCAACAAAAGTATTTATATCAACAATAGACTAACTTTCTTGTAAATCAAATAATATTAGCTTATATCCACAATTCTGTGAAAGCAATCCTGAAATAGAATGCCACACACATGGACAAGTGGCATTTGAACAAAGAAAAAAAAAACATAATTACTGAAATAACAACGACATCCTTGATTACAATGTCAAAACTGGAAAATAAATTTCAATAGAAATTATTAAAATTATTATTTGGAAAAGGAAATTCTTCAAGGCATTTGTTTTTCAATTTCATTTTTCCGGAGACAAATTCGACGTTTTGTCAAAGTGTGAGTGCGTGTTGTAATCATTGTAAATTAAATTCATCATAAATGTATAATAAATCGGGTTAATAAAAACAACAAAACCAACAACATTTGGATCATCATCATTTGCCTGTCATCTACAAAAACTCTTCCCAGAAGCTGTAATATTTGCATAATTTAAGGTAAGGCTTTTGCTGAATTTCTTTGTAAAAAAATTATTTATTTATAAATTGCCTTCAATTACTTGAGATCTCTGTATGAATATAATTTTTGGGAACAATTAAAATAATCTGAATAATTTGTGTGTAGCTAGCTAATCTGTACAAATTTATGATTGTGTGTATTTCATCTGAACAATTAAAAGCTTAAAATAATTAAATTTACCCAAAGACTTTTAATGGTTCAAAGAACTCTGGCATTTGCCATGCAGCGTATGTGTGTTGTCGTTACGTATACGCAAGGTAGCTATGATTATTAGAATGGAATAGATTATTTATGAATTGTTAGGAGATACCAAGAATTTTTAAAATTTATGTAACAGCCATACTGAATGGGGAGAGCATGTTTTTCAAAAATTTGGAAGAATTGAAGTATCAGAAATCTAAGAAGGGCCAAACACATGTCAGGGCTTGTGATATAGATATTATAGTTTATCCATCATATCTATATGGTCAGTCCAGATTCTTTCTTTGGATTCCTGATACTTTAACTCTTCCAAATTTGTTAGAAACCTAAAAATTAAAACTAATTTTTAATAATAAATAGTCTACCCCTTTTGGACCAAGAAGTCCACTCTCATTATATTCAACGGAAAGTTCTCAAATATATTTCTTTTAAAGTCAAATTTTTTACATGTAGTCCCTAGAAAATGTAAATTTTAATGATTTTTTTTGGAGAAAGCGTTGGAAAAATTCACGATATTGGCCACGGATTTTTTATATATTCTTAAAATATATAAGTTAGCCACAGGGGATCGTGTAAAATATTTTTAAAAATTTTACGACTTTTGTCTAAAAAAATTAAAATGTGTTCTCCAAAAATTCGACTGTTAAAAATATTAATAATACACGGCTTAAAAATCTACTTTGTTAACATGTTCCCCAAAAAATCACAAAATTTGCCTAGGAGATTTTAAAAATTATTTTTAAAAAATCAAATGTTCATTTTTATACCCTCCACCATAGTATGTAGGGTATATTAAGTTTGTCATTTCGTTTGTAACACCTCGAAATACACATTTTAGACCCCACAAAGTATATATATTCTTGATTAGCATAAAATTCTATGTTGGATTAACGATGTTCATCCGTCTGTCCGTCTGTGGAAATCACTCTATCTTCCGAACGAATTGAAGTAGATTGATAAAATTTTGCTTAAATGTATGTTATCTCTGCAGAACTTTTGTTATTGAAAATGGGCCATTTAGGTCCACGTTTTGGTATAGCCCCATATAACGGTACCTCCCGATATTCGGTATTTTGATGATTTTAGCGAATTTATTCACCGGAATTGTTTCAAATTTGGTATTAAAAGTTCGCAATGGATACTACAGCCCATGACAGAAAATTGTCTGTGCAGGTCCACGTCTTCATATTCGGTATTTTAATGATTTTAGAGACACTTTTCAGCAGAATTCTTTCAAATTTGATTATTGAAGTTCGTAATGGATACTACAGCCTACGACAGAAAATTGTCTGTGCAGGTCCACGTCTTCGTATAGCCCCCATATAACGGTACCTCCCGATATTCTGTATTTGGTTTTTATCGACATTATAACTGATTTTTTTATGTTTGTTATTGAGAATTGCCAAATACGTTCCAAATGGTGGAAGGTATTCAAAGTTCGGCCCGGCCGAAATTACAGCTTTTTTACTTGTTAAATCCACGACTTTCTTCTATGATGACCAGTTAAAATTATTATTAAAAATTCAATTTTTTTTCTAAATTTATTTATTTTTTTTAATTTGGCATGGAACTTCAAGCAGTTTGCCTAGGAAATTTTCAAAAATATTTTAAATAATATTCTTCAAAACCCCGTGTTCCCAGATATGTATTTTTATTTAAATAAAAAAAATTGACTGGAAATTCGTAAATGTTTTTTTTAATGTCCTTCAAAATTTCAATTAAAAATCAACTGTTTTTGCCTTGAAACACCTTGTTATTCTTAAAACCCCATGAAATTTTAGAAAAATCCATGACTTCTTAGACAAGAAGAACTTGTTAGAATACTCTTAAAAATTCTCGTCTTTATATATTTAAAAAATTCGGCTGTTAAAAATATGAAATAAAAATTAACTTTTTCTGTTTAAAAATATTCATGAAAAAATGAACGGCTTGGTACGGAAAAACACTATGACTTTAACATGCCCGAAAGTATTTTTAAAATGCCACCACTTTTTTCCCGGGAAGACCTAGCTAAATATATTCTTAAAAATTCACAACGTTTGTCTTCGATGGTCTATAAAAAACATTTTTTTCAGTAATGTCTGCAAATAATATTCTTAGCCAAAAAAAAAAAAAAAAAACTGGCAGCAAGTCCTTGAAATGATATCTCATCGAAACTCATGATATTTTACAGATCTTACCTTTTGAGGGAGAGTTTAGTAAACAATATGAGCTTGTTTAGATTAACAGGGATTAGCCCCTTGCATTTTCCAAATGTTGATCATTTCGTTGGGGAAAAATAGGTGGATCTATACATTTCATATTCACACTTGATTTAATATTTAAAAAAATTTTGAAAAGAATACAGATATTAAAGAATCTTTGTGGAAAAGGTACCTAAAGGAGAGGGCATATTTTTTTCGACTGAACTAAGTCGTATACAAATTTTTCGTTATTCAAAATTCTCTTATTTTTATTTCTAACTTGACTGGTTACTGGCTCTTCATGCAATTTGAACAAAATCAATTCGATGAGAATTATTAATACTCAGAATTTTGACCTTTCGTGGGGAGGTACGAAAAAGAGTGGACTCTTATTTTCCTTTTTCAGTTTTCAAGAGATTTTTAATTATTTATTTATATTTTCTTTTTCACAAATTTTTGAACATTGCCAATTTTCGAAATCGATCTAAGTTTGATAAAAATATTATTATGTAAAAAGGTTGGACCAAGTCGAATATTTCCTTGTAGAGCTGTCGACTCCAAATGTCCGGAAAATGATTTCGTCCAAAGAGACAATGATCTGAGGGCCATTTTTGTATGAATGTTGCTATAATCTTCGCAAAAATATTTCATTTCAGTAGCATTTAGAACAAATATAGTCGCATATCCAAAACCGGCTCTTTCTCTCAACAACATACACCACCAGTGATATTCATATCAAATTTCAAGATTCCAGCTCTATATCCTCACCTAATACCAAATTTAGTACCACTTAGTACCTTTCCTATAATTATAGAATACATTTCTAAGACCACCGCCATATTTCAGTCCTAGATAAGTTATAGAGGTAGTTTTGGATAATAATTGCACGAAAAGTATTAAACAGTACTATCTTTGGTACAATTTGGCATTGAGTGAAGAGATAGTTCTTGAAATCGGAAATTGGGTATTGGGGTCGCTCTTTATGTCTGGCCTGGAGGTGGTTTAGGAAATGTGTACTATAATTGTATGTTAAATGCTGTATGGTACTATATTTAGTAATGGGTGAAGGAATAGAGATAAAATTCGGAATCTTGATATTTAGATTACTAACAGTATCTGTGTTTGCGATTTGGCGGTGGTTTGGAAATGCGTTCTCTTCTTTTTAAGAAATGTAATAAATGGTACTAAATTTTCGTATTGGGATAGGTGATAGGGCTGCGATCCTCAAATATGATATTGAGGGCTCTGCAGGTATCTGGAAATGAGATATGGGAGTAGTTTCAGTAATGTTTACCTTAATTGTACAAAGGTTGACACTTCTCTTACGAAGTAGCCGTTACTTGCTAGAAAAACCTATAAAATGTGTTCTGTTCTACAGAATAGGTAATGATTATGCTCTACACCACGTAGTGATAAGGGTATTATGTCTTTGTGCATTTGTTTGTAACAGGGAGAAGGAAGCGAGATAGACCCATAGTTACTTTTGAGGATTTTCATAGAACCTCTTTCTTTGTCGATTTATGCATATGAGTCCGTTTATCCTTCCGTCCGTCCATGTGAACAAAATGCAGGCCGCATTATTATCCGATTGAGATGAAATTTCCCAAATAATATTTGTTTGCCCCAAGGATGAACGCTATTGAAATTGGTGATAATCTGATTATATTTATATATAGCTTCCATATATATCTTCAACCGATCAATTGTGCATTAAATGGCCAATATCAGTTCAAATGACCTACATTTTGGCACATTCGACGAATTCAGTCTGGAAGCAGGTACCTTAATTTTATATATATTCTTAATCAGCATAAAATTCTATTTGTCCGTCAGTCCGTACATTCGTCTGTGGAAATCACTCTAGCTTTCGAACGAAATTAAGAAGGTTGATAAAATTTTACTCAAAAGTATATTATGTCTGAAGGACTTTTGGTATTGAAAATGGGTCACGTAGGTCCACGTTTTTGTATAGCCCCAATATAATGGTACCCCCCGATATTTGGTATTTTGATAATTTTAGCGACATTCTACACCGGAATTGTTTCAAATTTGGTATTTAAAGTTCGCAATATATACTAAATTGTTTGTGCAGCCCCCATATAACGGTAACTCCCGATATTCGGCATTTTGATGATTTTAGCGACATTATTCACCGGAATTGTTTCGGAATTTGAAGTTCGTAATGGATAGTACAGCCTAAGACTGAAAATTGTCTGTGCAGGTCCACGTCTTCGTATAGTCCCCATATAATGGTACCTCCGATTTTCGGTATTTTGATGGTTTTAGCAACATTATCCACCGTAATTGTTTCAAATTTGTTATTTGAAGTTTGTAATGGATAGTACAGCCTATGAGAGAAAAATTTCTGTGCAGGTTCACGTCTTCGTATAGCCCTCATATAACGGTACCTCCCGATATTCGGTATTTTGATGATTTTAACGACAATTTTCTCAGATTTTTTTTCAAGTTTCGCATTTAACAAGTAAGCAAAGGCTACAGTCGTGCGGGGCCGACCATGTGATACCCTACAACACTACAATATGTTAGATTTCGCTTTTGAAATAATGTCACGGATCACTGCCCAGATATTACCC